GACTGCACTGGGGCAGGGCTGGGTTCTGATCTCAGCCCCCCGGGGTCAATCTGGAGTCACCCCTGACTGCACTGGGGCAGGGACAGGTTCTGATCTCAGCCCACCCACAGTCAATCCGGAGTCACTCCTGGGTGCAGGGGGTTACACAGATATAGTTTAGGGTTAGTTTCTCTCTCTGCTCTGTTTTTAATTGCTACTCACTGAAAATAATTTTTTAGACTTTGGAGTCTGACTGTGTATCCTGGGGTGGGGGGCAGGGCTGGGGATCAGGGTCCTGTGTATTCTGGGAGGGTGGGGGGCTGCCGTGAGGCTGGGGATTGGGGCCCCTTGTGTTTTCCCTCCCCCCGAAGATGGGAAGAATCCTGCTGAAACCTTCAGGGTTTGTTTCCACACCTTCCCCCAGCTGGGGATAGAAACCAGGAGTCCTGGCGCCCAGCCTCGCTCTAACCACTAGACCCCTCTCCCCTCCCAGAGCCAGGATAGAACCCAGGAGTCCTGGCTCCCAGCTACCCCGACTCCTCTCCCAGAGCCACCTTGGGGTCAGCCCTGCCTGCCAGGGGAGAGCGCTCCCTGTTGAGCCCCCACCCTGCTTCCTCTAGCTCCGGGTCCCTTAGTGCCATGCTGGGACACGGGGTCAGCACCGGCTGCAAGGGGAGATCAGAGAAACCCAGAAGTCCTGTACTCAGCTAGGACAAGATTTTGCCTTATTAGAGTAGTGCGGGGTGGGGGCCTCTCTGGGCTCACAGAGGTTCTTGCTTCTCACATGCAGGCTTTGTGCCGCTTCCCTTCTTCCTCCGGCACGATTCCCCAATGTCCTGGGACTTTTGCGCCCCTATCCCGGCTGCCGAGAGCCTGGACTCGTGGGAGAGCAGCTTGCTGTGGGATGGAGGGTCTCTGGTCATCACCAATTCTTCCCAGGGGCAGCCGGGGACGCCTGGGGGAGGTAAGGAGGGATTGAACTCGGGATCTTTGGCACCAAGAACACAGGGCTTTGCCACTGGAGCTAAAGGAGGAGGTCTAGCGGCCGCTAGCAGTAGGAGGCTGTTATCCTGGCAGCAAAGGGGCATGTGATGCATTTGGCCACAGACAGCACTGTCTACACCAATTACCAAGCTCAACCAGTTTTGAGCTTTAATATGCACACGTTAGGACAATATGTTACTACTTTAAATAGGCATAAAAAGGAAATAAGGCTGATAGAGCAGGGCAGCGTGACGATAAATTATTCAGCCTTAGGGCACAGATAGCTGGTGCTGTTGGTGTTAGATTGAAGCCGGGCCAATCCGGTGTAAGTCTTACGTTGATTTATTCCCCTTTGGTCAAACCCACCGTTTTTATCCCCCGTGTCTTGTGACATGAGGCACTGAAACGGCTGTCTCCACCAACGTATTTTAAATATAATTCCATACATGCCAGCATAAAATTCTTTGAACGGATGCGTTTTTTCCCTTAGTTGGCTAAAACGTTGCTTGGTACCTTTTTTATTTATTTTCACTATTACAATTCGTCTTAATGAACGCTGGGTTTTCATTGCGTTCATGTGTTTTCCTGCGTCTTACAACAGGTTGTGCTGGTTTTTCCTCTTGGCGTCACTGCGTGTCCAGCATGATTCGCGCTCCCTCGTCTGTTTTACTAGGGATGTGGAGGTCTGGCTAGTGAATCCCCCATTTGGCTTTTGCCCTGTTATCTCTGCAGGCCAAGGTGACACAAACCAACTTTCTGATTTTTATTTTTGTTACGAGTTTTGAAAGCGGCGTCGACAAGACACGCACCGAAAGCTGAAAAATTCCCTTTGGTGTTTTCTTAGAACACTATTAAATAGAGAAGAGTTACATTTTCCACATTATTTAATAGAGTTCATTACACGTCTCTTTCCCCCCTCTCTTTTCCCTTTTTTTTGTCTTTGGTTTTTCTCCTCTTTTCCCCCCCCTCCTTTCTCTAACCTTCCCTCTTTTCGCTTCCCAGCTGGCTCCATCTCCCCACAGCCACCTCTGGATCTCTCCGGGTTTCCTTTGGCCGAGCCCTGGGACATCCTCTCGGCGGATGCCCCCGCTGACGCAGCCCCCGATTTCGTTCACCCCCTGGTGACGGCTGCTCACCTGGATCCTGGTGCGCCGTGGTTGATGTCAAGGATAAATCCAGGTGACGTCTGGGGTCGGGGGTCGCTGCTTTTGCCTGCCCTGGGGAATTGTGGGTAGCTGGGATCCTGGTGTTGTGTGTCTCTGGGTCTCGGCCTGGGCTGGACCAGACACAGAGGCTAAGCTCCCACCGCTCCTCTGTAGGGAGGCAGATGGTGTCCCAGTGCATGCTCTGAAATTCTGGCAAACTGCATGTTAGCCTTGTCCGTACCCTACTGCCTAGCCATGTCTGCCCCTGTGCATGCTGGGAAAACCTGGCCAATGGCCTGTCCATATCCTACCACCCAGCCATCTCTGCCCCAGGGCATGCAGGGAAAATGTGGC